AACGGATGTCCCGACGTACACCGTAACAGTTTAGTTATGGCATTCAGTTTAGTTATGGCATTCGGCCTCGAGCACTTGCCCTCCACTAGCTTCCTCCCCCAAACACGACATATGGCCATTATATCTGTTTTGGGGGCACATGTCCGTCTAAATACAGCTAAGACGACCTTACCGTATTCATAGAGGGGACGCAGGTGGCGGAAGCATTTAAAAAAAGACCGCCAATAACCTTTTAATTTAAAATAAAGGCACCACCAGAAATTCCTTCACAACTCAGCTTTTCATTCGAGGGCACAGAATGCTCCTCTTTTACGCATTTGCCGCAGACTGCAGACAGGCAACAGCCTCATCGCTGAGAAGGCCAAGCGTCCGTGACACAGATCTTTTTCTTTTCTTTTTGGTACACACCACCAGTGCTCGGCCCAGCTATCAGTCAGCCGTGGAAAATAATATAGTAGAAGCGTCGTTTCCAGTCGGATGAATTTGGGCGCTCCTATAGTGGCCCGTACGTTTCCTAAACTTGCGGACTGTTCACTAAACGGGCACGGCTTTGGAAATACTCCTACCGGTAGTGATAGCATCACCTCATCAGCCCAAGGCGGTATACTGATGCCCTCTCTATTCTATTCGTGAGGAGAAGCACATGCTGGAAAGCGGGCAGAGCATCCCGTGTAAGATATTAATAGACATTTGGGAAAGGGGGGGGGGAGGGGGGAGGGTGCAAGGATCGCTCTGGGGAAGACCCCATGATTGACACCCTGCTGTACTGCATCGCGTATGCACTGGTAGTCATGACTCGAGACTTGGAACTTGCTACCTCCTGGGGAGCATGCAACACTTTGCAAGTACTAGCTGAACGTGAGAGAAATGGCTTTCTATGAAGCGTAGAAAAGGTTCGAATGCGACAGGGTTGTGTTTGGGTTATCACAACCTTTAACACATGGTTTGAAATATAAATGATAATCGCCGGTCAGACCAAGGGCACAGCAGATAACAGAGTCCACTTCTCCCTGTGATCTCTCTCTCCCCACTTGTGCTCACTTCGTCTCAGCTCTCGGGGGCCAACAGTTGAGGAATGTTTTGTTCAGCAGATCGTTTCTCCAGTAGTTGAAGGGCCTGCATCGGCTTCTTCCGTCTTCACTTGCAATAGAGCACATTGTTTACAACATCCGTAGGATGTCTCAGCCGGCAGCCACCTTCGGTTTCGCCACTGCTCACAACCGGAAGAGCCACCCCATTGCGGTTTCAGGTGTTTTAAAAGGGGTAGGATTGTACTCGGGGACACCTGAGTATGGCTCAGTTGCCGTATACATGGTGTTGAGGCGAGCGTTCAGGCAACAAAGGGGCCAGCCAGGGGGGAGGGAAGGATGGGGGTCGAGGATCGAAGTGCCGCGTTCGGAGTGGGTGGCTGTACCCAGGGTGCGATACATGGACTAGAGGAGGCAGTACACACTAACATCCCCCTACTTTGTTGAGAGGCTGGGAAGCGGATCCGGGCAGGGTGTCTTTGTGCCCAGGACTCCTAAAAGACTCGGCCTTTAGGCATTTTCATCGAGCTGAACCCCCCTACGCAATTCACAAGTACGTTCATTGGTTAATTTCTCTGCATCTGGATTCGAACTTCGGGGGGCTGTATTTCAGCAGTTCAGGGGCGTGCCTATACTGAGTTAGGCCCCGTTAGTTGTTGACCGTTTTTCTTTTGCTTCACAGATATGGCGGTATCTTTGAAAGACTGGAAGACGCGAGTTTTTGCTCCATGGTCTGCTGCTTTTGTTAGCTGCCAGGCCTCATGGATTCTTTATGGTGATTGCGCCGTCTGCCTCTCTCTGCCACCGCCTCAAGGAACCCTTGCGTTCGTCCCTCCCTCTCTCTCTCATTAGGAGCCATCTTCCTTTCCAGATTGCCGTGAGCATCTACAACCAAAGTATATTGGCGCAGGTCATCCTGGAAAACAGGTCAGCTGCTCGGGGGAATTCCTGCTGTTCCCCACAGCACAAAAAATCCCATGTCCCAGGGACAGTAAGTTCCAGTGAGGACATACGCCACGTCGCCCTCTAAAACGCGACATCTGTCACTGCACCGGGCATTCCATTAGACTGCTGCATCGTCGCGGCGCGACACAGTATCAGCAGATAGGAGAGAGCAGGCACTTCCATCTATGCGCGAGAGGCCAGCCAGTCAGTCATGAATGGGTCGACAACGAACACTACTTGCCATTGGACAGCTTGGTGCGCTACACTTCACGGCGCACTCCTCTTGCAGTCCTGCTCGGCCAGCCTACCACGTCTCGAAGGATGAGTGAGTTGCTTGCCCTGTGACAGGCCGATACATCCAGCTAGGCGAGGCACGTGCACCGTCGTGTTCTCACAAAAAAGGGCCGCAGACGTAAGGGGCGTATAAAGGGATTTCTCTAGATCAAATGGAATGGAGCCAGACCGGCTAGCGTCGTGTCCTCTACCTATATAGTCTATCTCAGCACCGAGATTGTTCCAAGCAGAGCGGCTCCGCATCCTCGCTGACTAATTGACCATTAGCCATGTGTTGTGCACGATGACGATGCCTTTAATCACGCCATTAATGCCAACCTGCATTGCACGAAAAGTTTCACCGTGGAACAATTTCACACGGTGAACAGTTCTTACCACGCAGGCAATCAGAGTTACGGACGGCTCAGGGAACACGAATTGGAGGGGTCCCCTGCTATATTGGGCATAATCAGAGGACGAACTTCCCTGCTTTCCGGATTCTGCACATAGCTAATTGGAGAGAAGTGCACATTTCCAACTCAAAACTACCGTCCTCCCCGAATAATACGCCCGGTCATTATCGCTGCATCTGGACTGAAAGTTAGCCAAATGCAGCTAAAATGACCGGGCGTTCTATTCGGGTGAAGACGGGTAACATGGCAACGTTGCCTGCTACCGGTAGTTCACCTGCAAACTCGCTTTCATCCACTTTTAATAGTCCGGAATATACCTTAAAAATACTCACGCAGGAGTCCGCTCACCATGCCGAAATCTCACCTACCGTGCTTACGCATTCTGCAGCCTAATTTGCCGCTCAGATCGCATAATTTTTAACCTTTAAATTTTTAACCTAAGTGGGCCCGTTGCTAAGTTTGAGATTAGGGTGCATAGGTTAATTCGGCATGGTGAGCGGCAAATTAGGGTGCATAGGCTGTCTCTTATACACATCTAGATGTGTATAAGAGAMWRGGTTAATTCGGCATGGTGAGCGGCAAATTAGGGTGCATAGGCACCTCTCGTGCATAGTCCGGATAGGTTGGTTTTTTTCCTACCAAACCAACCTATGCACCCTAATTTGCCGCTCAGATCGCATAATTTTTAACCTTTAAATTTTTAAACAATCAATCGAAACTAATAAAAAACCGTTCACTAAGCTCCGGATTCTAGTACTCTTCAGTATTGCGGGGTCGTCGATGAGTTGATATAATCATGACATTGGAAAGGATGAAGCGAACCTGGTCCAATTACCGCCCACTGGCAGATCGCCACGAAAGGGCTGACACGAGGGATATGTACGGGACGTACGTGTTTTTAGGATTCCATCCCTTCTAAACTTAATTAATTATTTATTAATCAAATCCCCCAAATGCCTAAAAACCTAACCGACAGACTCACGCGGGCAGACACGTCTGATATTCACGTCCCATGCAGCTGTGTACCTTATAGTCGTCATATGCTGGCGATTCGGCTGCGGTGTTAAATGACCGGCATGGTTCCGTACTTTTACATATGCTTCGACTCACCGACCGCTCACTACTCTACTCGACACATAGAGCCGAGTAAACCGGATAGCTTCTTCTTTCGTTCCTTGTTCAAATTTAACATTTCATCTCCGAACTGAGTTGTCACCGTCGGAATTCAACGAACACCAAATGCGTAGACCGGAGACTACCGTCTTCCCCCGACCATAACGCACCATGATTCTGAATGAATACAGTATATTTCCGGTCAGGTACATCCAAATTGAGGATGCGTTGTGTTCGGAGGAAGACAGCAGGCTTGCCATGGCAACAATGACCTGAAGGGGGACCAAGTGGCGGCATCAGTGCGATCTCCGGTTGGGCAGGAGCCAAAGGCAGCGAAAAACGAGTACTTACACATGCAAACTACAGACCGATGACTGTCGTACGAACACGTAGGAAACCCTAAAAAATCGTCATACGCAAACCTACCAAAGAATGCTGCCCCACAAGAAGCACACAGGCGTGTACAGCCCAACTGCGTATACGTGCCATGTGCAACACACACAGGCAAGAAGTATCGTAAAACCAACACACGGGTTTTCACTCGACGCGCTCACAAGCAACTCACAAGCTTCCATACAAACGAAACATACCCACGTCATCTCGTGGGAAAAGCTTAACCATAGTGCGCTCGAGTTCGTCATCATGCAACGAGTCTCAACTGCATATAGCACTCCTATATCGCAACACAAGTCTTGGACAGGTTATCTGTGGCAAAGAAGTGATGACACTGCATTACAGCGCGCACTCAAAGACAGCAAAACAGTCTTCATGCTGGCAACGAACCGACATCCTCATTTCCAATATTTACGATTACAACCCTTCCACACGGTCGGCATAAAACACACCACAATTTTTAGGTGTTTGCACGTACTCTGAGCTTAGCCTGAACTCAGAAAAAAACACACGTCAAGAAAAATTCCATCGTAGAGGTCACTCACACTCGTTCTACTGAGAGACCTTGTCGTCATAGAACACCACGATTACTTACGATTACAACCCTTCCATACGGTCGGCGTAAAACATCACAATTTTTAGGTATTTGTGCGTACTCTGAGCTTCGCCTGAACTCAGAAAAAAACACGTCAAGAAAAATTCCATCGCAGAGGTCACTCACACTCATTCTACTGAGAGACCTTGTCGTCATAGAACACCACGATTAGGTGTTTGCGCGTTCTTTGAGCTCACGCGTGCACTCAGGAAAAGCACTCGCATCAAGAAAATTCCACTGCAGAGGTTTACACGCATCTTGCTGAGAGACCTCGATCCCACGACCTTTCCACACCTGCGCCATAATAATCAACATGATCCTCTCGGCACCCGCAGCCTGACGCGGCACCCAAGATTCGTGATACCTCGCCGTTACCTTCCATATGTGCAGCACGCATATAGAGACATTTGTGGTTAGGTTTTGCAACTCCAGACCGCACACAACCAAAACTGCACGTCTGCAACCCTTCAATATGATAACGGTCCCGGGATGTAGATCAACAACAAACACAAGGGCAAACGATTCTCGTGCGACTGGCGAAGGCAACGTAAGATTTCCACCACAGTCAGGAACTACAGACTGCAATAACAACAGAAGAGAACGATAGCTACAACGTTCCTGCAAATAGCTTTTCTCTCGAATTGAGGGATATATAAACAGCACCAACTGTGTATCAAACACCTAGGGATTTTCGGTATGGACCAAACCAAACAACACGACGACATTGCTTGCAAGAAAGACGACACATAGACTCACCTTAACGTCGAGGGAGGGAAAAAAAGACATTCGAAATTTTCTTTGGGGGCACCATTTGCTGTGAGCGTTACCCATGTCGCACTCGCTAAACACCAACATACACAGATTGCGCGGTCATTAAAAGGACTTAAAGAAAGAATGGCCATCGCCCCAAACACACGGACAGAGAGACACCCAACGAGACAAGAGAATGCACTCGTCGCAAAACACACCCGCAATTCGATCGATACAAACAAGCCAACAAGAAAGTCACACCTTCAAAAATTATCTATCGAGTCGTGCACGCGCGTCTGAGCGCCCCCGAAAATCGTTCTAACAGTAACGCCCCCCCTTTACGCCGCCTTTTCCACCTCCCCTCCCTCTTTCCCCCATCAACGATTTCTGCCAGACAATCAATACAGGACAAGGACTTTTTGTCTGCTCGCCTTCTCCCACGAACGCCCCACGGAAACGGGTGATTCTCCTCCCCCTCTGTACCTGACCCGAGAACCCCCTTATCAGAACAATCCAAAACCCAAATGAAACGAAAGGTTCAGCAGGGCGCAAGAAGGCACGCCAAAGAGAGAAAAAAGACCTCTGCGATCCTAAAAACCCTACTCGCTCAAAAAGAGAACAAAGAATGGAATATAGCGGCCAGCAAGCTCTCCTAGGAGAGCTCAGTTGCTCGGCCGTTCGACTCTTCCCTCCTCTGCTCCACATTACGAAATCCATTTCATGTCAGAGTATACCTTCATTTCAGTTCACTCTAAACTATCACCTCGGTTATCGATTGCCACATCCATCCGCAGCAGCACATGGGAGAACACTCCACATTTTCGATGGATAATAAAACAAATGAGAACGCTACTCCAAGAACAGAGTACCTCTCGTCCTCTGCTTCCCCACCACAATGGAAGGCATCAGATTCACAATGTCCGTCTCCGTTCTCGAACCGGAAATCTTTGTCCTAACCTAAGCAACAACTCAGACCAGACCACGTAGGGAAGGAAAACATGAAAGGGGGGGGCGGGGGGGAGGGGAATGGACACACTCGACAGAGAGGGAAATCAAAAAGGGCCGCAAAGGACAATGATCTTCCCCTACCACACTCCCGACCTGCGTCCGATCGGCCATTCGACCACCGGAAGAGGCAAGATACATGCAAACAAAATTACAAAACAACCCTCCCAACGTTTTACCTCATAGTGGCTTACCAGCGTTTTATCCGATAGTATTTTTTTATGCGTAGGTCGTGCAACAAACCAGCAGCGCGCAGATGACACGAAGGAAATACCAGGAACGAGCAGCCCTACATATCGAACACCCATGATAAAACTGAAGATCACAGAAAGCCATACCATTCCGTCATGTCACAATTGCACGCTTGTCACCCGACTCCGTACTGTAGGTTTCCAGGTTGAAGCTTCAAGCTCCACCGCCAAGGGTCGGGAAGGAGGCCTGGTCGTCGATAGCAGGAGGGTGTTCCCCGTAGCTATTCTCGTATCCACCGCCGCCGCCACCACCGCCGCCGCCCCCGCCGAACCTACCTCCTCCAAAACGTCCGCCAAAGCGGCCGCCGCCGCCGCCGCCGCCTTCCCCACGCCCTCGTCCTTCTCCGCGACCTCGTCCGCCGCGTCCGCGGAAACCTCCTGCGCCGGAATACCTCCACGATGCGGAATCGCCTTCGACAGGACGCAAGAACTCGTGAATTGGAATGGATTTCTTAGGAAGAACCTCCTGAGGCACCTCCTTCTTCTCGACGGGCTGCTTCTTCACCTTGGTGGTTTCCTTGGGCACGCTCTTCAATGTGTACCTCTCTTCTTCTTCATCGTAGTGCGACGACTTATCCACAAGTCCCATATTCTCGAAAGCCTTGATATCCGCCTGGGCGACAGTCTTCTTTTCTTTATCGTCTCCTCCCTTGTTGAGGGCGGCGAGTAGACTGCGCCTCTTCTCCTCTTTGATTTTTTCGTACTCGTCCAGCGTCATCTCGTCTGGTTCTTCCTTCTTCGGTTCGGCATCCTCCTGAGCGGTAGTCTGCGCTTTCTCTTCGCCTTCAGCAGCAGGAGCTGGAGCAGCATTCGTGGTCTCTCCATCTTCCCCAGCAGGAGCTTCCGTCTCCTCTGCCTTGGCAGGTTCCTTCGGTGGGGCTTCGCTCTCTTGCTCCGCCTCCTCTGCCTTCACGTTCAGGTTTGCTCCCTGGTCGCCTTCCACTCCCCAGTTTCCACGGCCAGCGCCACCACGACGCATCTCAAATCCACGGCCAGTGCCGCTTCGGCGGTCGAAGTCTCGCCTCGGTGGGCGGCCGTCCTCTTCCCCCTCCCCTGAGAAACCACCACCTCTGCCTCTACCACCTCTTCCTCGCCCATAGAACCTTCGGCCTCCGCCGCGCCCGCCGTCGTAAAATCGATCCGATCGACCTTCGCCGACGAAACCATCCTGCGCACCTGCTCCCGGACGCTCACCATCGAAGTCGCCGCCACCTCCAAAGCGACCGCCATAGCCGCCGCCATATCCACCCCCGTATCCACGACCACCATAACCGCCGCCGCCGTAGCCGCCGCCGCCTTCGCGCTCAACAAGCCCAGAGTCGTTTTCTCTCTCGTTATCCCTGTCGCCACCACCACCGCCGCCGGGACCCCCACCACCCCTCCCGCCAAAGCGGCCACCACGACCGCCATACCCACGCCCACCTTCACGGTCACCAAAACGACCAACCCCCTCCCTATCCCCATACCCGCCACGTCCACCACCATCACGATCTCCATAACCACCACCATAGCCTCCACGGCCACCACGGCCGCGACCGCCGCGGCCTCCACGACCGCCTCCCCCTCCTCCCCCCTCGTACTGATCCCCGCCACGTGCGGCATTCGCATTTCCTGAATCTTTGTGGGACGACTCTAGAGCCCGAGACTTCGCGCTTCCTTGTTGATTGCGCTGGTCCTTCGTTGGAGCAGATTTAGTAGGGACAATGTCAACATCTTTTAGGGCAGTAACACGGGCAAGGACGGCTTCCGGATCTTCGTTCTCCTCGTCGCCCAACAGGGCATATAAGTTGTGCGTGGACGCCATCGCTGCAGAGAAAGTAACACCTCACCGACGAAATTTGTGTAATTAGAGAACGGCGTTTCACACCCAGAGGATATCAAGCATCAATCAGTCCATCAGGACAAATACAGAATCGGCAGTCATCGTACAAGAGGGCACCTGCGCACTCACGAGAGATTGGGCAAAGCATTGAAGGAGGACACGTGGAGCTGCTTTCTCGGATTCATGAGCAAAACGCCTCTCTTTGCAAGCTCCATGTAACGATTCTGTCCCCGCCGCCGCCACCGCCGCCGCCGCCATAAGCCGCACGTACCCACCTAGGCAACTCCTCCTCCAACTCCAGTGTTAGCGGGCCACCCACGTCGGCCCCCCGCTTTCCCTATCATCATTCTCAATACCGTGGCTCTTCCCACTCGGTCGCTCTACCGCTGCATCTGTTCAGCGACAACGAATCTAGCTGTGAATACACCCCACAACCCACGGGTGAAAGGGAGAGTGTAGAGAAACGCCCCGATTATCTACCGACGGAAACACGCTCGCGGACTGCTGCTGTGGTCCTCCTCCCAGGACCTTCGCACGCCGCGGCAACTCGACCCTTACATGCCAGAAACGGAAAGCGATTTTCCTTTTCGGTCGGGTTTAACACATCCGATCACTCTACGACCAGTGACACGCGGTCCTTCGGACCTGGCCGCCCTGCGGCCGCCGCCACTGCACCCCTTTTCCGCCGCCCGCGACCGGTAGCTTCGCCCGCCCGCCTCCCGTCCGCCTGCCTCACCATGACGCAACGCAAAAGCCTGTCCTGCCGTCACGTAGCCCTAATTCCCTTGCGCCTGACTCTCGACGCTGGCCTGGTCCCCTCTCGGTCTGGCTCCTGCGCGCCTGATCTGCATCTGCATTGCGCCTGCGCACGGCCCGCCCGCCATTCAGACGGGTCAAGGCCCCGCGGAAGAGGGCCAGGTCTTGCAGAAGCCAGGTCTTCCAGATGCATCCAAATGAGGATATCCAAAGGCAAGCAATAACTGCAGGGAACACCCCGCCCGACCCGAGCCTCGAAGGAATTATTGGACGAAGGCTCGGATAGCGCACCCCTTTTTTCCATCTCGTCGAGGCCACCAGGGGGTGTCAGAATATCGATGAGAAACCGCGCCACGCAGTTTATCCGACACTTGGGATTCCTCATTTTGTTTGCCCGTGATCCCGTCGAGCCACCATCTATCCGCTAAAAAGAGGGGCAAAGACAAGCAAATGTAGCCCGTACAGTCCTCAGACCCTGGGGTGCCCCACAGCGGTCACAGTCGTGACCATGGGGCTCAACCTTTCAAACGAGCCTCAGTTGACGAACCTACCTTCCAAGGCTCGCCGCAACTGCGCCTTTTCAAAGTGGCCCGCCGCTTTGGCTACCGGCCCAGGACCGAAGCAAAACAGTCTTACCGTATACTGGCAAGGCCACAACTTTGACTCATGTGGACTGGTGGTCTTACTGGTATACATGGCAAGAGTACTTGGCTTCAGGCCTGTAGGCCTGTAGCGAATGCGGCAGGCCACTTATAGAGGCGCAGTCGCAGGCTCCCAAGCCTTGAAAGGCAAGGAGAAATCTAAGCCACCCAATCTTGAGGGGCGGGTGGATGGCATGTGGCCTAGTGGTTAGGGCACCGGTTGGAAATGCGCATTGTGGTTTGAGGTTGCGCGTTCAAAACTCCGCTTCCATGCGCATGGACACCAGAAGACGTTTACATAATGTATACCCATTTGCAAACCCCCGTAGGCTGATGTGGGTAAGCTATTACAGACACTGCTTGCACACCACCGAGGGGTCCTAGTCCATGGTTGATGTATGTTGGGTCTGGGCTATGGGATGTTTGTCCAATGCTCTTGCACACCACCGAGGGGTCCTAGTCCATGGTTGATGTATGTTGGGTATGGGCTATGGGATGTTTGTTTGATGCTTTTGGTTCATGAGGCTGTTCGAGTGCTTGTACACTTAGGATGATTGTTCCTTTGCCTTCCGGTCCAGTATTGCGCACAAATCGGTTAGTTTCCATAGTAGCTCAGCAGATTCGCTGGTAGGATTTGCATGGTTGAGGTTTTGTGTTTAAATTGTTTCACGTAGTGGGATGCAGCCGGAGAGACTTACACCCCTCCTGCAGAATCAGGAACAGTCAATGAGAGGAGACAGTACAGTCTATGGTCGGGGTTGGTAAGGACTCTTGAAGTTGAGAGTGGAGATTAGGTGGGCCCGTTGCTAAGTTTGAGATTTGGGGGGGTCGTCGCTAGGCATGACAGGGGTTAGATGAGGGTTCCTCCCTAAGACAGTTCGCCCATGGAATGAAACAGTCGATGAGAGTCTTGGTGCGCTTTATGGTCAATGTTAGTCTGACAACACTAAAGACCCTACAGACCGCCTATTAAATATAGGAACAGTCGATGAGAGGAGACGTAGTACAGTCTATGGACGGTGTTAGTAAGGCTTTTGTGAGGAGGGGGGCTCTCTAGGGGGATTGATTGGGGTTGTCTGCCTCCCATGTTTTTACACGGAATTCAAAAATAAGAAACAACTCACCATCAACAACAATTTATACAGTGAATAACCTAACAACAAACAACAGTTGTGTATATAGCGGTAGGAACGCAAATATATCCACCTATGCGACTTATAGTGAAAATGTCTATATCTATCGCCTGAAGTACCCAGGCGACATACTTTTTTGACTATGCTTTGATAAAGGTTGAATGGTGTGAGTGGTGCTTAGCTTAGCCCTAGTACTTGCAACCACGGTCCGGTCAAGGTCACCCCCAGAATGAAGGGTGGAGATCCTCAGTGCTAGACACAAAGGTAAGATAGTGGGAGTAGGGATGCGCTGGGAAGAAATACGAGAGTGGTAGGTGGGAAGGGAGTCTCATTGGAATTGGGGGTCTCCACCACATGGTCGAACGCCAAAGGCACCTCTCATACGTATAGAATCCAACCTTTACAATGACTTGGGCTTAAAAAAAAAAAAAAAAAAAAAAAAAACTTGTTTGAGGTACCAATTGCGGGGTTCTACCGCCACAAGTAAGAAAAACGGACTACTTTCTTAACTTTAATTAACAGCAAAATAACAACAATTATGTTTGAATTTCAATTTTGTTATTTGTTTCTTTGATGGTTGGAATTTCATATGAAAAGTTGGAGGGCTCGGGGATCGGTAGCCCCGTTTCACGAGGGGTACCGGTAGCATAGAGTGAAAAACCAATTGAATGGCAGAAATAAAATTTGCGTCAAAAAATTGGAAACGCACCGAATTAGCACGACGATTATTTTACAGCCAAAATGATTTTTTATTATTTATTCTGACATTTTTCCTTCAAAGAACACAACTTAATCTACGCACCCTCAAATTTTCACAATTTTTGAAAATTTTTGTTAGGCGCGAAAATTCGGCAAAGTTGTGGTTTGCAAATGACAATATTGGATCCGCCGATAACGAATGGTCGCGACCCCTCCGTAGAAACGAAATGAAGTTCATAGGCTTACACCTCAACTCTAGCTCGATGCTTCTTTTGATTTTCTAAATTTTAATCTTATACTTTCATTGTTTTTTTTGCTCTATAAAAACAATGAGTGGTGTCAAAACAACCTTAACCCGCAAAGTTAAAACTTGCACAACGCTACTTCGTTATATCATAAAACATGTTATTTGTCTTAAGCCACTGCTACCTCCGAGCCTGTTTGTACCGACCGTGATTTTCACTGCGCGTCGAGTTCTGTCGAGCCTGGTTTCGTTCTGTCGATTTCTTGGTACTATTATTAGGAAAAAGAAAACAACGGTCAGACTTTTAGAAAATAATAAGCACGGGGTTACAAACGAATACTTATATCCATAAAAAACACGCACACCCTTGGACGTGACATAAGATAAATACCTAACACACATTAGTTGTGGAAGTATGCCCTCTGTGAGGGCGTTACAGCAGAGGATGTCGGGTTTACGGAATAAAAAAATTAAAAAAAACAAAGAAATGAACTTAAGGTGGAAAAACGAGTTCATATATCTTCCAAAGTAGCATTGTGGACATGTTGTCCTCCAAAGAGTGTCAGCAACCCATAGATTCCACCATGCCTCTCCGTGAGAGCACCTAAGCAAAATAAATAAATAATAATAATAATTAAAAAAAAATAAACTGGTTGCAATAGCAACTAGATGCAAACTGAAAAAATAAAACAAAAAAAACAAACACTTCAAAAAAACATAAGAAATAAACAATGTTATGAAGCAAAATAAAATAAACAACATTTGCCACAACATTACATCCAAATTCCTTTTCAAATTTAGTATAAAAATAAAGTTAAAAAAAAACAAAACTGATAATAAAAATAACAACAATTAAAAAAATAAATGAAATTAGTAAGAGAGGAATCACGTTTTCGACAGCTTCATCTTTGGAGATTTTTCATTTTGTTTTGGCACAGCCAAATTCTCCGAAAATTTGTACATGTGTAGTTCCTATAATACAAAACTTATTAAAAAAAATTCAAAAAATAATAAAATTGTTTAGGCCCCGCAATAAAGTGAAAACAAAAAGTAAAAAGTGAAAGAAAAACAAAATAGTGAATGGGCGAGCACCTTTTAACACCACTATCCTTGGCGATTTTTTATTTTTGTTTGGCTTAGCCAAATAGCTTCAAACTTTACATGCTTGTATTTCACATCACTGTAAACTAAAATAAAAAAAACAAATTTAGGTTCGGACCCCGAACGACTTTGTTTACAGGCATGAGCCTGTTTATTATTATTTTTTCAATAACATATTATTTTTTTATTTTTATTTTTTATTTTTTAACTAGACTACCAGTCGGGCCCCGGTTCCGGGTGACAAGCCCGTGCAAGGACACGGGACGGTCCCAGCAAAAAAAAACAAATCAAAAAAATCCTAAAACAAATGCTGTTATGCAGAAACATAAACTTAACAACCTTTGTCACCGGCTCACATTGAAATTTTTTACCGAATTTAAAATATAAATAATTTTAAAATATATATACAGGGTAACCGACGTTCGGGACGGGCCGAACGCCCGAACCCGAACGCCCGAACCCGAACGCCCGAATGTATGGGACCCCTTGGGGATGCGTTCGGCCGTTCGGGCCGAATGCGGACCCCCCCCCCCCCCCAAAAAAAAAAAAAAAAAAAGTCATCAAAAAAATTTGAAAAAAGATATGTTATGGATAAAAATACATTAAAAAAGATTTCCTGAGCATTACGTCCGAATTCCTTACCAAATTTGAAATAAAAATAAAATATACAGAACAAATACTAAAAATAAAAATAAATAAAAATAAAAAGAAAATTAAATTTAGTGAGTGTGCGAGCATGTTTTCGACAGCGCCATCTTTGGAGATTTTTCATTTTGTTTTGGCATAGCTAAATGCCCTGAAAATTTACACATATGTACTTCGCATAATACAAAACCCACTAAAAAAGTTTCAAAAAATAATAAAATTGTCTAGACCCCGAACTAAAG